TCTGTGTTCGACTACTCCACCTAGGCTGCATTTTTGAGTGCAGATCCACTGAGAAACTTGCTGTTTCAGCAATGTTTAATTAAAAATTGTACTTTTGAGGTTAAACAAATGTTCATAATTAATATAAATAAATTACAAGTTAAAAGGGGCATGGAAATTTCTCTTTTTTGTATGGAAAAAATTTCGAACCGTGAGACTAAAGTATCGAACCGAACCGAACCGTGAATTTCCTGTATCGTTGCACCCCTAATATATATATCTTGAAGCTAAAAGTAACAAAAAGTTAGCTTAAAGTAAACGTAGCAGAATGGCTGCTAAAATTCACAAAACAGTAGCTAAGAATGTTTTTGAAAGATTTGAAACTGTGGCCTTGTCTTTTAATGGAGAAGTAAATAAAGGTCAATATTTTAACAAATATAAACCAAAAGGCATAGCACCTATCTCCTGATTAAACTGATTGTTTTAATATGTGAACAGCAATGAAAGCACAAAGTTTGCAGAAGTAGTTAGATAAAATACTTGTTTCAGAGCTAAAGCTAYGAAGTATGTCTCTTCAATTAATCATCTGAGTAATCAATCTGAGTAAGTTTGGTAAAGAAAAAAAAAACTAACAGTTTTCTGCAATCTGTTCTGAAGGCATGACCGTGAGTGCCATGAAAGATGGTTTGGGTATGCTGATCCGCAGTATAATCCACGGGGGGTCCATTAGCCGTGATGGACGGCTAGGGGTCGGCGATCTAATCCTAGCCATCAATGGAGAGCCCACCACCAAACTGACCAACGTTCAGGCTCGAGCCATGCTCAGGAGGCACTCTCTCATCGGACCAGACCTGGGGTGAGAGATGATAGCTGAGTGAATGTTTATGTCTGCACATGCATACTGTGCAAAAAGTTTTGAATCACCCACAACTTCTTAAAGTTTTGCCTCCAAGAAGACTTTTATAGTAACCCTGATCAATATTTCATAGTATTGTACTGACACGAGAAGGACTAAAGAAGTTTCAAGTCTTAAATACTATCTTACTAGATTGAAAATATGATTGAAATGTTATATTTGATATTTTTGATATAACTGTGTTGTTTTGACAGACCGCTAATAACAAAGTTACTTGTCAGCTAGCTGGCAGAAAGATACATTTAATACCTTCTCACCAACTCAGCTCTGTGACACATTCCTTTGTGGCTAAGAGGCATACCAGCAGTGGGTTGACTCCAACACCCCTATGTCACTTTGTTTTTTTAAACTTTTATGCGTGCTTTGTGAAAGCTTTTGTTAAATTTTGTAATTTCTATTGATTTAGCCCCATAAAAATTGAGACTAAGTTGTTGGCTGCTAATAATCAAGTTACGTGCTAGCTAGCTTAGATTTGAACTACCGTATTTATTCATGTATAATACGATCTTAATTATAATACGATTATCATTTTTTGAGCGTATAAAGCATAAAAGTCTAGTTATGGATAACTCGTGTATAATACTATCCCCCCACTTTATGGATGATTTTTGGGGTTAAATTTATCATATTATACTTTAATAAATACGGTACTTATTAGCTAAACATTCACTTTAAAATAGGTTCTAAGTTGTTTGTAGGGATGTAATTTATAAGTATTTGAATTTAATGGAATTGTGTTGACAACACTGGTTCATTCAATAAGTAAGGAAACTGTTTAATTGTTAGAATGATTAAAGTGCCTATAAAAAACGTTCATACCCAAAATAAAACGGTAAAACAAAGTCCAAAGAGAAACTCTGAAAGACTGTCAGACAGCCTTGCTGCGTCGAGTCAAAATAAAAGTAAACGAGGGATGGCTCAAGACTTTTGCACAGTACTGTTTGTTGATAGGTTTGCAGGAATATCTTCATCTTAAACCCTTTGACAGTATGCCACATCAAGTTGTATTACCAAAACAAACTACCTTTTTTATAAAGTGTGTAAAGAGTTATGTTTGAGTTTTGAATGTGCTTTGAGTGATTCTAATGACAGAATAAGCAAATTAATGTTCCGTCTTGTGACTCCTGAACTGGACTACCATAATGCCGTCTTGCAAGGAAAGTGGATGTGTAATTTTGACAAAAAAAAAATCCTGCTTGCTGAACTAAACTTTGGCAGCGTGTAAAAGCCAACTCTTCCACATTCTAGATCTGCTTGTGCACCTGAGGACGATCTGTGCCCGTTTTATGTGTGAGTATGACTAACCCTCCACGTACCGACGGCATTTCAGAACCGCCTCGGTTTTCTTTGTTCTCGTCCATTTTCTTCACATTTGCCGCCAAGCTCCTTCGCAGTCTAGTAAGAAGTTTATCCGAGAGGATTACATGGATTCAGTAAAGTGTCAAAACAATGATAATTATGAACCAATATGTGTTGGATTTGGCAAAAGTTTTGGATAAATCTTTACTGGCTGTGTCACTTTTTTAACTCACTAAACTTGCTGCATAACTTGCTTTCTTTTACTCCAGTCACTAACATGATTAACACTTTTTAAACCTTTTTATCGCCCGCTGCCACTATCCTGTGGCTTATCTCAGTTGATGAATTTTAATGAAACTTTCAGGAAGTAATCACTAAATGCAYATCTATAACTGATAAACATTCAAAGATAAACTAAAGATGGCCACCAGTGTTGTATTACTCAAGACCACTTTTTGATTGACTCGTCTCGGACCTGACTGCATTTGTCTCTGTCGCAGACATTGAGAACTTTTTGTGAATTTTATGTCAAGGCCAGTCAAGACCACAACTGTAGAAATATCATTACATTTCCAGAATATTGTCCATTTTATTTGTTACCATCCTTGCTTTGGATGTAAAACGTACAGATTGAAATCCAAGCGRCACTCCCAAGAATGTGAGCAGKGGTTGTCTAGGAGCAGTAGAAGATGTCTGCAAARTATTTGRTRATACARTTTGCCTACATAAATCATAAAGAATATATTTGTAAAACAATATCCAGGAGAAAGAACACAGTGACTTTCAAAAATTCTGCCGCACTTCACTTTTAGAGATGGTGGGGACTAAGTCAAACTTCTATTGTCACTTGAAAGAACGCACAAAGAAAGGTAAGCTATGTGTAAGTGATGTTAGCAAAGCTAGCTAGCTAATGTTAGCAATCTGCCTCCGTACCAAAATTCTTTACCAAGCCCTCACACAAAGAGATTTAGTCAATACTAGCTTTTAGGGGTGCACCAAAAAATCAATTCACATCAGAATTGTGATTCTCAATTACGATTCAGAATCGATTTAAAATGTCCCAAAATCTATAAAAAAAATTAAGCAAACCCAGTGGCTGTCAGCCTCTATTTACCGTAGTGACTAGGTGGGACATCCTGACGTCACCACGCAGCCGGTTCTGGGACGTGTGCACCAAAACAAAGAGGAAACTACAAAAATGGAGGAGAGAGAGATTCAGCCAGCCCCGTCCTCATTGAAAAGAGGCTCATTTTGTTTTTACCCAACGAGTCTGAATCTGGCGTGAGCTTCACTGTGTGCATGTTTTGAGAAATGAAGACGAAAGACTTTGGGAACAAGACAAAAGGGCTCACATAATCAGTTTTGAATGAAAAACATCGATTTTAAAGGTGCAATTTTTTGTGTTTCTCAGGCATTTATTTAAAAACTATACCTTAATAAAGTATCTATGTCACCTTTAGTTG